AAACATCCCTTAAAATTTCAGCTTTCTAGCTCCCGTTGCCCCTGAGTTAGCAACTTACTGGAACAAGATTTTCACGGGCTCGTGCACGTTTACCAAGCATACCTGAGAGCTGGGTTCGAGCTGAATGAAAATTAAGGTGGACGAGGTATACCCTCTTAAAATTACATTCCTTTAGCTTCTCAGGTAATTGAGTTATCAATTCACACGAAAAAAAACTTTGGCGGGCTCGTACGCGGGTACCACGCTTACCCGGGGGCCGAGTTTGAGCTCAATAATACCGGGTTGGGCGGAGAACATTACCCCAAGATTCCAGCCTTCTAGCTTCTCAGATCCCTGAGTTATGAACTTACCCGAAAAAAACTTTGGCGGGCCCGTGCGCGGGTACCACGCTGGTTTTGGCGCCCATTTTGGGGATTGGGGGCGGCGCGTGCATGTAGATTAAGTTCCCGAAATTTCAGCCCCGTAGCTTTTATAGGTCCTGAGATGAAAATGCGTGACAGACGCACACGCAGACACACAGACGCACAGACAACCTCTCGTCAATATGCGTTTTTCGCATCGCATTGCTGCAAAAAGCGCATAAAAAAGGAAAAAAAGTAGCAACCTCAAATGTGCCAAAAATATTTGATGGATCGCAGGTTGAAAGGCTCGCTACAACCAAGATCACTTCACGACTAGCATGACCAGGATAACTACTGAAATGAACAATTTTTTCTAGGTTCCAAAACAGTGAAATGTGCAAGACTTCTCGAAACCGTGCGAGCACGTGCTTGCGAAAATGCCGCAGAATGTACAACCTTTCCACGAAGATGCGCTCTTACTTTTTCCTGGAAAAATTTCCGATTCTCCTAATTCATTAGATCCCAGTATTTCTACTTCCCTCTCTTTTCCTCTCCTGTTCTTACTCCCCTCCCTCTCATTTTCTTCAGACTTTATAATGTTGTAGTCTCTGCTTCTCACTTTTTGTTTCATTTTCTTTCACTTCCTCCTTCTTTCTTTCTTCTTCCTCCCCTTTATGCACTACGACCATCATATTCACGAGGTCCAGTTCCAGTGCTCAGTTAAGGCGTATATGGCTCACCGGACCGAAACGTCTTATCTTGCTCTTACCTTCTCTAATCTACACCATTTCTTTTTTTTCCTGAATTCCTTCACACTTTCGCCATCTGCACTTCCAGGGTCAGCCGGAAGGCTGCAATTTGCTTAGCACTGCCACCTGTGTAAGTGCTAAACAGGAGGAGGGGGGATTAAAGCCAAGTATTTATACTCATCCCCCCACTCTTGGAACTGCCAATGCTTTGATCAATGCTGTGGCGAATTGAAGCTGCTCTGGTCGCAGTTCTGTTATTCATTTCTTCTTCTGAAGGGATTTCCAGCTTAATGGTTCTCCTAACAGGAACAGTTGGGCATCGCCTTAGTCATTTCGAAATGTCCTTGGTACGCGTATTGAGGACTACTGTATCTTTCTAAACCTATGAACTGCAGCAGCTCATCTGGATATTCCACGTATACTTTTAAAGAAAACTACAGCTGATCAATGTATCTAAATGCAGCAAAAACGCATATTGAAGCCGAATTAAAAAAAAAAAAAAAAAAACATACTGCAAACTCCTAATGGCTACCATCAAACCGTTGTGCAACGAGAATTCGCCATGGCATAACGCCTCGGACAGAGTGGACAATGATTCCTTGACCAATCGAACATTACCTGCAACGATAAATCTTGAAGTTTTGAGAGTTATCGCCCCCTCCCTCTGCCACCCGAACATTTAATACAGAATAAAAATAACTGAGTACCCGTAAGAGGAATAAGACGTTCAGCTCGCTTATCTTTGCATATGATAATGCCCACTTGTGATATTGGATTCTGCTCGGAAAATTTATCCAGAAATTGGTTTAGCGCCTTAAAAAAGTGCAACCATTTTCGACAAGTAAAATCTTTCACGGAAGAAATTTATAACTCAAAAATCAGGCAAATCTCATAATTTCAAGTAAATCTCGTCCTACAAGCAAACCTTATAACTTTTCTTCACAAATCTTTCATGCAAAAAGCCTCAAAAATGATGGTTCATTCGCACTGGATTCTACAATATGAAGCCATTTGCAAGATTTTTTGGATTTTCAAGATTTTTGGAAAAATATTCTCTACCGAGGTTCACTTTTTTACAGATATCTGCGCACCAAATTTTCAAAAGCTGTTCACTAAATGCCAAAAATAAGTCAGAACAAAGGAAACTAGAAAGCAAAAAAAAGGAAAAAAGAGAGGCGGGCGGGAAGTTCCAGAAAGGCTAGTAAAAATTAAGCAAGCATAATCGATACCCACCTTCAGCGAAACAGCAAGTCGTGTTGGAGATAACGAACTATCGGTCATCGCAAATGAGCAATCAATCACTATATATACATAACGCATCTGGAACACATTTTTACATTGATCACCAGGATAATCGTTTTCTAACTCTCAGTGACAGCCATAAACTTTCAGCTCAGCTAAATCGGGCTCTTCTCTCCAGGGATGCCTACTTCCAACCTACATCCATCATGTAAGTATCCCCACTCTTAAAACAATGCAAGTATTAGTTTAGTACAAGGGGCTGAAGCCAAGAGCGCTGTAGTATCTAAATAGGCGGATCTAGAGCGGTCTCCTGGAGAGGAGGGGGGGGGGACGATTTTCCTCCCCTCCTCCTCCCCCCGGATCATCATTATATCGGAATCCCCTTTCTTCCCCCTCCCCCCTCTTTTAACTTCCAGTCCTGCTATACTTCTTCACTCAGTAATACTCTCCCATCTCCCGGAATTTTGTCTCTTAATCTCCTCATTTCCTCCTTCATATGTCAAAACGGTTGGATTTCAACAGCTCAATCTAAGCTCCCCCTCCCCCGCTCAATCTTAATTTTATTCCATCTTTTTAAGAAATTCGTTATCGAAAGTAAGCGGCATATAACTTACAATTCCCAGTCGAACTTTCGCAGGACGATCAGCCAAGCGTCTCTTTCGTTTGGCATCAAGTATCAGCTTTGCAATGGATTTTTCAATTGATCCATGTTCATCCTCATGTAACACTTCACGGATATTTAGTCCTAAAACAGAGGAAAATAACCAGGGGTTTTTCGTTACTTTTCATTGCTTTTTGAACTGATTGGTGGTTTTTTGAAACAAGAAATCGTGCAATAAGGAACAGCATTTAAACAAGGAATTACAGGAAAATTTAAAGAGAGATACGAAGGATTGATAAGCAACACTGAATGAGTTTCAAATGCGTTTCATCTCCTCCAGCTGGTACACACAGGCAGTATAGTGTGTGTGTGTGTGTGTGTGT